TAGGGCTGTTGTACATAGGGTCGCTATGAGTCGCAGGCGACTCGACGGCACATAACAACAACAACAACAACAACAAGATAATTGTTATAGCACTGGTCTGTCCATTTGCTGTACAGAAGAGGTAACGTGTGGTTGCCGTGATGTTAAACACTGTGACACTGATGTGCCAAATGCGATAATGGTTACCCATGGTGGACAGTGTTTGGTGGAGCTCCCTTATTGAAACAAGCTTGGGAGCAGGAGTGGCATCCACTTCCAAAAGTTCTTTCCTCCGGAAACTCTATGAACATGGAAAATCGACGAAAGTTATACAAGAATACAGGTCTTTTGTTCCTAGGGTCATTATGAATCATCTACGATTTGATGGCACTTAACAACAACAACAGCAAGATAATTGTTTGCTGTGTTGCAATAAGTCTGGTTATTTTGATAGTAATGGAATGTTTCTTTCTTTCTATACATACTGAAGAATAAAAAAGTTTTTGCTTATTGGCTCTAAGGCTAAGCCCCTGGTGCCTCACTTTCTTTCTCTCCATTTTTTCTCTCAGCAGCGCTGCATCCTCCACTCTGCTGGAAAACAGCAACACTGTTCTAACTGTCCTTGCCTGCTCTCCAATGTTTCCCCAAACCTGCAGCTCAGACAGATCACCCGTGGCCTGGTCCTGTCATTTCCATGATTTTGCATACACTTCCCTACAGTCGCAAGAATCCTTAGAAACCAAGTGCCCAACGACCATCCTCAGTACACAGTGTAAGACCCTTCTGAGGTCACCCTTGCACAGCTAATCTAGGGCCCCTCATTCTTCATGGAACATCTCTCTGTCCCACCTCCTCACAACACATTTTTCTCACTAGAGGAATGTTATAACTGTTATACAACAAAAAGGTCTTGAAGCTGTTATGAATGGGACATGCATCAGTATTCAACAGGACAACACAGAAGACTCATTGAGGGAGGAGAAGGCACATTACTACCGTGCACTTCCACTTAAATTTGTACATAGACTTATGTGCATCATTATGCATTAAGAGACACAGCATTTCCTCAAAAGTCTGAACACAGAAATTCCTGTGACCTAGCTATTTCACTGCTTGGAATAAACCCCAAGAAAATGAGAACTCATGTACAGAGACTTGTGCACCAATGTTCACAGCAGCATCATTAACGAACATGGAAACAGCCCATGTGTCCAATCACCATGGAACGGATTGAAAAATTATGGTATAACCACACGATGGAATACTACGCAGCACACAGGAGCGATGATTTTGTAAATTACTACCTAAGTTGGGAGGGACTGAAGAGCATTACGCTAAGTGAACTAACTCAGTCCCATAATGGCAAATATTATATAAAACCATTATTGTAGAATGAGCATAAGGATTCAACAGGGGGTGGGGGGGGAGGGAGACAGATGGCTGAGGATGGTTGTGGTGGGGTTGAGTGATAATCATATGCTTGTACAACTTGATGGGTAGAGGGACGCAGTATGAGCTGGTGTGAAAAAGTCTGTAAATAAACTAGTATAAAATTTAAAAATAATTAAAAAAAAAAGACATGACATCAAATGTTATGAATGGTATCTTCAGGTGGGAGCCCATAGGCCAATATTTACTTTTTCCTCCTTTTCAATAATTTGAATTTATGGGAAGCACTAACTGTTTTCCTCGGAACAATATTGCTGCTTTTCAAAAAACATTCATATATCTCATAACATAATGTATAGCATAAAACATAATAATAACAGTGATGCTGTGTTGGTTAAGACTGTGTGTCAGTTTTGAATCTCATTTAAAAAATTTAAAAAAAAAAGATTGTGTGTCAAAAAAAAAAGATTGTGTGTCAGCTTTTTTCTGGTTTGCAGTTGTGACATAGCCATTCTCTTGATGAGTTTTCATATAATGTAATCACTTCCATGATGAGATGAGCTCTAAGTAGCCAGGTGAGATAGAGTTTCCTCAGGAATGTGACCTATACCAAATATATGCATGTACATTTGGCAAAGCTATTTTGCTTTCTGTTTGAACAAGATCTCGCATCCTAGCGCCTCACTATCTGAGCTCCATTTCCTTGGACTTGAGCCAGCAGCCTGTCACACTGCCTCTCTTGGATTCATCAGCTTCTACAGCCACCATGGTCAGGAGAAGCCTCTATCCTGACATTTGACTCACAGACTTGGAACTTGCCAGTTTCTAAAAGTCTTAGAGCCACATCCCTGAGATAAACCTCTCTCTTGCTCTATGTTGCTGTTGTTGTTATGTGCTGTCAAGCTGAAAATAACCCACAGCTATCCCTCCAGTGGGTTTTCAAAGGCTACAATCGCACAGAAAGAGACTGCCATCCTTCTGCTATGGAGTAGCTGGTGGATCTGAACCAGCTGCCCTTAGGTTGGCAGTGCAACTCTTTATGATATGTAAGCTTACCTGCTTGGCTTCTCTCAACAAACCAGTCTAAGACAGTTATGGTTATGTATATATAATAATCACAAATAAATGTAAATATAAATGTAAACAGATAATATTTCCCCACTACATGTATATTTCACAACTAAAAACTTTTTAAAAGAACAGGGCAATATGTGTAGCCATGTTCTGGGGCTGAAAAAAGGAAAAGCTGAGTCTTGACTCTAACTGAGGTTAGGTTGGTCACTAACCATGTGACCATGAAAAGATCACTCTTAATTTCTGGCCTCAGATTCCTCATCTGTTCAATGGGGATGGTAATATAATAATGATCACATAGGGTGGCTATGAGGATTTTATGTTGTTGAAGTCAACGATGCTACCGTGTTTGTCTCCAGCTTCCAGCACACCCGCCTCTGCACAGGGGCAGCCCCAGGGAGGAAGCCCACCCAGCTCTTTACCTTCCCATCTCCATGTCATCACCCCTCACTCCTCCAGTAGGGTCAGCTCCCACCTCATGTGGCCCTCAACAATCACAGGTGACTGGCCAGAGCAAAGTCCACCCACACTGGAGCAGCTCAGCCCTGGGACCAAGTGCTACTTTCCTGCTCACCAGCCCATCCCCTCAACAGGGCCCTGGCCATCGCTGGGCACCAGCCTGGGCACGACACTGACACAGCTCAGGTTGTTCTCACCGGTCCTTTCTCTGCTCCCCAAGGGACGCGGGGTTGACAGCAATTCTAGGCAAGGTGGAGGCTGAGGTCTGGGACTGGCTACAAGAGGACAAGGTGTCAATGCTCAGGGGCGACTGAGGAGGCGTACTGCATTCCGAGTGTGACAAGGAACCTGCGAGAGAGGAGAGCATCCAGTCACGTGGGCCTCCACGTCACACCTGACCCCATGTCCCATCCGGCTGCATGCTGGCTCCACAGTCCTTTCTTTATTGGTCAAACACTTTGACAGCTATTTTAGGTTCATGGAAATCTTACACAGTAAGTATTGAGAGTTCCCATACAGACTTTATTCCCCTCCTTGAGGTATTTTTATATTACTATGTGCTCCCATGATAACAGTACAGCTGAAAAGCCAATTCTGACATGTTACTCCTAACTAAAGGTGCATTTCACTCAGGATCACTCCTCCTATTGTATGGGCCTGTGGGTTCTGAGACACAGATATCCCTGGCTTTTCCAAAATTCATTTGAAGCCACTGTGCTTTCATGGAAAACCTACGGTAAAGGTAGTTGTTTTCACTAGCTAAAAGAAACCCAAAGTGGATTTTTTTTTTTTATTTATTTTTTTTATTTTTAAAAAAATGGCAAAAACCACTGTTGTAAAACGTGACTGACATCAACATTGAGGGAAGACAGAAAAGGAGGGGAGGAATGATGTATGTTGCATTGAAACAGATGTGGGAGAGAACTGTTTCAAAGGGACATATGAATGGGTATTCTTGTCATTACAGAAATCCAGAGTGAAGGCTACATAGTGGAGTGGGTTTGGGGGGGAGGGATTGTATAACAATGAAAGAGGTGGTATTTTTCTTCTTTTCAAGGAGAAGAGCGAATGGGGGGGAGGGTGTTGGTAGGGAGAAAAGTGCAACAATGAATGACTGGAAACCCTAAGTCTCTGTATACTTTCATTAAAATTAATGTTAAAAAAATAAAATTATAAACCCCACAACATTAGCAGTCAGTGTTTCTCATGCAGTTATTGCATGCAAGTGACGACAGTGGTCTCTCCACGCTCCTCCCTGAAAGCTAGCCTCACATCCTAGCACTAAGCCCCCTTATCTAGAAACTGAATTCCATATGTCGGTTTTACTTAAAGTTTTCTGTTATTTGGTAAGATTTGTTATTTTCCCCGATGTAAATTAACGACAACTGCTTCTTCACTTTCTACCATCTGTACTTCTGGAAGGTGTCACAGGAACACTCTACCTCTGGACTGCAGGAAAACCCGGCCTCCTGTTGATCCCCTAGTCACTGGGCCCAGGGCTGGGCTGGGCAGGGGCTCCCAGAGTGACTGAGGGTTTAGGAAGCACACACTACACCCACAGACTCCCCAGGAGGCTGGACAGGGGGAGCAGGGAGTGCTGAGAAGGCCCAGGTCTGGGCTGGGCAGGGGCTCCCAGAGTGACTGAGGGTTTAGGAAGCACACACTACACCCACAGACTCCCCAGGAGGCTGGACAGGGGGAGCAGGGAGTGCTGAGAAGGCTTACCTCTGTCAGAGCCCATGACAGAGCGGGGGTATCGTGGCGTTGACGGGATTTTAATACGTTCCGCCTTAAACTGCAGGTTACTCGAAGACCCTGTTGTTCCATAATGAGACAAAATATTAGTCTTTGTAACTGATCACCATCCATCACTCTCTCACTACCCTTTGGTAGCTTGAGATGTGATGGCAGAATGGCAGGATGGCAGACATTCAGAGCCAGGTGTTGCTTATCTATGTCTTAGGGGTTCTGAATGTGGAATAGTTAAGAAAAGCAGACGCTTAACCTGCTGTGTTAGAACAAACTACAATGTTCTAGAACAGGAACAAGGTCTCCCTTCCACCTAGGACAGTGTCAGTCCCCCAGAGCGTCCTATGACGTGGCTAGGGGACACAATGCTGGACTACGTGTCTCAGACGTGAAAACAATACAGAATACCCGGAACGCCCAAGAAGCAGAGAAACAAGGAGGCCAGAATGGCCACCTGAAAGACCCAATGGCCACTGAGGAGAGTTGGAGAGACATGGGACACAGTGGAAGGAAGGGGTAGAATGTGGAAGGCAGGGCCGTCCAAGGTAGTCTGTGAGGAGACGTGTACGAGGACTAGGGCACACAGAAGGCTGATGCCCAACAAAGCAGGGCTCCCGGTTCCCTCACCAAGGCGGGCGCTGGAGGGCAGGGAATTGGACCCATGGGAGGCTCTCCTCTCAGGGCAGTCACCAAAGGATCGCTGGCTCAGGTCCAGGCTCAGGCGCACTTGATGCTGGACGCTGGGAGAGAACAAACCAGAGCAGGCTTAGGGATGGTGTCCAGGGCCAGATGTGGGGGAGACAGCCCTTGGGGCCCCTGGCCACTCATTGGGGAAATCCCCTGTACAACAATACACTCGCTGTCCACCGGGGACAGACCCTTTCTGCCCAGTCACTTCCTGGGGGTGGCATCCAGTGAGAGCCCTTCACACAGCCCTTCACTTCAGGGCCACACTGGTGGAGCTTGCACCACAGCAAATCCACTTCCGCCAGCAGCTGGAGTGGGTTCACTGGGAGGAAAGCACTGCCTGCCACCCGGGAAAACGGGGCTCTGAAACCTGCAGGCCTGGAAGCTGGAGTGCTTCCCCTGTGGTACAGCAGGCAGAGTGGGTGGATGTGGGGGCCTGTGCCCCTCAACCAGGGAACCTGGCAAGGAGACCAGGGGGCCGGAGGACACAGCCATTGCCCAAGAGGCTAATGAGCAGCCAAATCCCACCCATAAGATGGTGTTGCTCCCGTGGAGGCCCTCAGTGTATAGGACCTCACTATGGCTGGCACGGCCCACACGGTCCATTCTCCATGGTCGTCCATAGAGTCCCCATCCTCTCTCTGAGTTCATCTCTTTGTCCCTCCAGCCTACTGGGCGGTCTCCACTCCAGCTGGACATGCATGAACACCCTCCTGCAAGGTCTGTCCAGGTCTTATCCACCCCTGCAGCCCTCACTGCATCCTTTCCATATCCTAATCCTTCCCGACCACCCCAACTAACTCATTACCCTCCTTCAGGTCATAAGCAGCTGGTCACTCTGTTTCATCTTATGAGAAGCTCAGCACTAGCTGCCCAGTAAAACTCTACCCACTGTCTGCTATGAAAACCTGACTGCAAAGCACGACATGAGCAGGAAGCATGTTCCTGATTCACCACCATAAGCTCCTCTAACGAGAACTGATCATGCCATGTAGTAGGTGCTCAATAAATTCACTAAGCAACTAAATGAACGAATGTAATCACTGGACCTAGTACTCCATTCACTTCTTTAAGGTGCAGCTTCCTCATCTATAGAATAGACACAATGAACACACTTAACTCACAGGCTGACTGTGAGGAGGGAGTGAGGCTGACTGTGCACAGTGCCCGGCACATGAGCACCCATCACCAGCGATCATCATCACCTTTTCAAACATCACACTGATCAATTCAGAGCCCCCTCAAGGCTCGCCCTCCTCAGGGTCCCCAAGCTCCTGGAGCCAGCTTTTCTCAGCTGGATAAGGAAACCCCTCTGCCCACATGCCACTTCATACAAAGCTTGACGTGGGCTCACGTGAGTGGGCACCATGCAGGTGTGGGGTGGTCTCACCTACCTGGGATGTGACTCCTGGGTGGCCCCGTCTCTGTGGATGGGTGGGGAGAGGCCAACCTTGTGGCTCCGCACAGTGTAGACAGGGTTCCTCAGAATGGAGCTAACAGCTGTGCCTGGGGCCAAGCTCCGGGGGACTGTGCCTGTAAGCGGGCTGGGTGAGGATGCCGCCCAGGCGCCCACCCAGATCCACCAGGAGACCCCTCTCTATTCTAGATGGAAGCAGCAGGGACCAGCACTCTAGGCCCCACTTTGCTATGTTGTTTTGGGCCACTCGCCATTCTCCAGCTGCAGCCCTCCATAATGCTTCCCATCTTCCAGGGCTGCTGCCAGACAAACTGCAAGGCAGGCCAGCAATTCCCAACTGTTCGGGCATGAGCACCAAAGACCGCCCCGAGACCTCCGCCTCCATTCTCCCCAGGAGTGCAGTCGTGCTTATCCACCCAACCCCTCCCAGCCCCCGCCACTCACCCACTGACACCCTGCCGGGATAGGGCCTTGGGGTGCCATGGCGAGTGGAATGCACTGGTGAGTAAGGTGGCCACTCCTGGAGCTCTGGGGACAGCTCCCCACCAGCTGGGACACACTTCTGCTCCTGCAGAACCAAAGGCAACAAGTGTGCATGTGGACCTCTGCTCTGTGAGCACCAGCACCTCCTGCTTTAACAGGTGACGATCGACAGGCCACTGCCCGTTTGGGGTGCCCTGCACACCTGGAGGAGATACTTCAGAGGATAACATCCCAGTTCTTGCCAATAACCAGGAATTCTATGTGTAAAATTGGGGCCCCGGGTGTCCAGTGGTGAAGTTCTGGCCTTCCACGCATGAACTGAGACCCAGTTGGACTCACAGCCAACATCTCATGCAAAGCTAACCAAATGGCTGTCAGGGGAAGCCTGCATGCTGCTCTCATGCTGAACACGTTTCAGTGGAGCTTTCTGACTAACAGACTAGGAAGAAAGGCCTGGCAATTTAAATCTGAAAATTAAGTCCATGAAAAGTCTGAATCACAATAGTGCTCTGCTGTGGTACATCAGGTCACTATGAGTCAGGGGCTGACTCTACAACTGCTAGGAACGTGTATATAAGAGCAAAGAATAAGAATGCATCAGGCAAATATAACTTGCACAATTGTATCAAACTGTCCAGTGGCATCAGACGCTGCATGAATAAGTCTCTGAAAGGCTAGCTCCAAACAGCAGCAATTTCTCTCTTCTACATTACTTGTTGCTATTGTTATTGACCAACAAGTTGGAAACCAACTTCAGCAGAGGGAGTTAATTACACAAGAGGAGACTGCCCATCCTTCTCCTGCAGAGCAGCTGGTAGAGTTGAACCACATGCCTTGGGGATTGCAGTGCAGCTCCTTTCCACGAGGCCAGCAGAGCTCCCTCTTTTGCAAACTACTACAGCACAAATTCAGTGCACAGCCTTCCCTCCCAACAGCCTCGAAGGCAAGCCACAGCCGTAGAGTTCTGGTGTAGAGCCACTGGGGTTTTCGTTCAAGGGCTGCACCTAGAAAGTACCCCTCCCTGCACTGTATGCCCACATAAGTGCCCACTGCCTGCCACTTTGCAGCTCGTGGAGCAGGGGTGCTGGTGTCCTCCCCACCCCCTGCAGAGGCAAAGACACCAGGACTGAGGCCCCCACAGTGGTACAGTCACTTTTCTGCATCCATGCCCTCCTGTCCCCTCCAGCCCTTGTCCCATGCCAGGTGGAGCTCTACCTCTGGACACTGAGCTGGAGGAGCCGCCGATGCCAGTCTGGGCCGGAACCCAGGGGCAGACTTGGGTCGGCGGCGCTTCTGCCCCAGCTCATCCACTTTTTGGGTGCTGAGGTCCTCATCACAGGGCTTCTTGGCCAGCAGATAGGCACTGTCCCCATCCCCTTCAGGGTAGTAAGTGGAAGCAATGCGGACTCTAGTCTTGCGAGGCGGTGAGGTATGTGGGGGCTCCCCAGGGTCCAGGCTAGGGGGCAAGGCCATTGGGGGACTGGTGGAGGGGGAACTGCCCACCAGTGTAGCCTCGGACTCAGAACTGGTCTCCAGTCTGTGCTGGAACTTGATAGAGTCACTCCTCCTAGGAGGCTTTGGGGGTGTCAGAGGCCCCATTCTCTTAGAGGCCTGGGGGGAGGGAGTGGGCCCTGGGCCCAAAAGCAGGGAGTCTATTTTGGGGGGCGTCTGGGGCCGTTTGAAAGTGTTAGGGTCAAAGATGGATTTTCTTTGCTTTGGCTTCTTGTAAACCGAGAGCTTCTCGGGCTCTGCTGTGGAGCCGAGCACAGCCTTGGGCCAGGTCCCACCACTGTTGGGGCTCCCAGGCTCCACCTTGTCCAGGGGCGTCTCTGCTGCCCCACAGGAGCCCACCTCAGTCTCAAAGGGCAGCAAGGGCTGCCTTCTGCGCCCCTCCACCAGCCCCAAGTCATGCTCTGCAGACAGGTCCGAGCGGAAGGGACTCAGGCTGCGCTCAGAGGCGCTGGGACAGCCTGGCGGGGAGGCCTGAAAGGGCCGTCCAGGGAAGGGCCTGTGTAGGAAGGAGCCACTGTCCCCTGAAGGGGCTGTCTCCTTCCTGTCCTCCAGCCTGTCCAGGTAGAAGATGTCCGTCTGTGTGGAGTTATTGTGCTGCATCAAGTTCCGTTTATTGTGAGCCTGGACCTCTGGGGCCTGGGTACGAAAACCCAACACCTTCTCCGAGTCCTTGAGGTTCTCAAAGATGTTCTGGCCACTCCAGGAGGCGCTCTGAGGAAACACCTAGGCAGGATTGCGAGAGTTAGAGGGTGAGACAGGGAGGTCAGGGCTGGGCTGCAGCTACCCTCAAATGCAGACAGACAGACAGATGTGAACACACACATGCTCACACAGAGGAGCACACAGGTGTGCGTGCACGCACCACTTTAGACAGGTACCGCAGTCCCCCTGCTATGCCCCCAGCCCTGGGCACTCTGAACTCGCACCAGAGCCACAGAATTCTACATCTGAGCACTTTCCAAAATGACCTGCATGGTCTCCTGCACATTTAAAAAAAAGAAAAAAAACCATTAAAAATTAAAGTAAAACTGCATGATTAGAGATGTATCTCTTAACTGCACCCATGCTGGCGAGACTGTAAAATGGTAGTCACTGCAGAAAACAGTTTGGAAGTTGTAAAAAAGATTAAAAAATTACCATATGACCCAGCAATTCCACTCCTGGGTGCACCACTCTAAATCAGAAAGCTAGCAGAGATGCTAAAGGAGCCCGGGACACGCTGAGGCTCACCTCCCCAGAGGCAGGCAGAGCCAGGCTCCAGTGCGCTTACCTTCAGCAGGGAGAGGGTCAGGGAGTCTTCGCAGCTCCGCAGCAGAGATTCGCACTCATTCAGAGACTTGTTGTCCAAGGCAATGCCATTGATCTAGGGCGAATAGAGAGCTGGTCAGGCCCACCAGCAGGGTGGCAGTTGGGGCTCAAAGGGCCACCAGGAGATGGGCTGTGCCCACCTGCTGTCCTACAATGCACAGGAGGCTTGGTTCTGTATGATGCCATGCATGGAGCTGGCAAAGGAAAGGGGGACATGTGGAAGGAGTGCAGCCACGGTGCTTCAGAGGCAAATTTAACGCACGTCCTTAAAGCTGCCCTAACAGGAGGTACTTGTCCATCTGGGGTCAGTACACTGAGGTCGTGCTCAGCCCTAGTGCTTCCAGCTGTGTAAGGCCGAACCCCAGAGACACCTTTCCAAGCCTCATTCATGGGTTGGGATCAGCTCATAGGAGCAGCAGGAGAGGCCATCTCACAGCTCTTCCACCTGTCTTGCTCCCCAACACACTCTAAGGTGTCCCCAGACATGCACATGGGAGGAGCTCGCTGCAGGGCCATGCCCCACTCCAAAAACACCGAAGCTACAGTTACTTCAACCACCAAATGAGGGATCATTTACGCTACATATAATCAGAACCATGAGGTGGATAAAAATAATGAGAACTTGATCTGGAAAGACATAATGTAGAATGCAAACTTTAGAATAATGTGGTGGTGGTGGTGGTGTTGTTAGGTGCTATTGAGTCAAGTATGACTCATAGTGAACCCTGTAAACAGATCTGAACCCTGTCCTATCCTGTACCATCCTCATAATCTCTGACACACTTGAGCCCACTGCTGCAGTCACTGTTGTTGGTCCATCTCGCCAAGAGTCTTCTACTTCACTGACCCTCCACCCTTCCAAGCATAATGTGCTTCTTCAAGGAATGCTCAACCAACACTCTTGGCACCAACAGTCAGGAAATCAAAAGATGAGCTGCATTAGGAAAATCTGCTGTCAAGGATCTCTCTAGAGTGCTAAAGAGCAACAGTGTCAGTCTAGAGACTAAGGTGTACCTTATCCAGTCCAGAGTCTTCTAAATTGCTCGCTATGTATCTGTGATCTGGACAATGACTACAGATGAAAGAAGAATCATGATGCCTTTGAGTTGTGGTACTGGAGGAGTACTGAACACACTGCCAAGAGAACAAACAGGTCTGTTCTGGAGAGGGTGAAATCAGTTTGCTCTTTCGAGGCAAGGATTTGGAAACTCCATCCCACATACTGTGGGCATGTTTCCAGGAGGGACCAGTCCTTGGGGAAGGACATCATATTTGGAAGGGTGAAGCGTGAGCACAGAAGAGGAAGACCCGGGATGAGATTGATTTATACAGTGTCCGTAGCAAGGGGTTCAGGTGTGTCAGAGATGGTGAGGTTGTCTCTGGGTTCAAAGCCACTGTTCACAGGGCTTCTATGGGTTGAAGCTGACTGGATGGCACATAACAGGAACAACAAACAACATACCTAAAGTGTATACACAGTATCCACTTTCTTCTCTTAAAAACAAAAAATCAGAGCCCTATTAAATGTACACAGATTTGTACCAGCATTTAAAGCCTGAGAGGACACTCAACAAATACAGCAGAGCTTGTTCCTGAGAAAACCTTTTGCTTTGTATTATCTTTTATTGCTTAACAATTCCACCACCAACACATCATTAGTAATGAAACAAGTGATAAGTGGATATAAAAAAAGGATTCAAAAATTACACTCAGGTTATATCAACATATGATTTCCTAAATACACCCTCAGGAATAAAATAAAGGGGGGAAAAGCTACTAAAAGTTATTTACCAGTGGTAGAAAAGCAAGCAATTTTTGTATTTACTTCCTAAGCTTCTGTATTTCCTAATTTTCTACAGTAAACATAAACACGTTATGAGGGCAGAAAAATCCATTTTAAGTGTTCCCGTGGGTGATGGCCCAGAACAAGACTATGAAAACCCAGTTCAAGACTCTGCTTCCAAACCCTCCCACCACACGTTAACCGTCTATAAGACCAGCCTGAACAGTGCATCTAAATTTCAAAATCAATCTCCATAATAGTCTATGTGTTTCCTACTGACAAAGGGGCCCTTTAGAGTAGTGAGAGAAGATCTTCACCCTGAAACCCACAGCGTCCCTTTTCAGCAGGAAGTAGCTAAGAGAATACGCCGTCCCCTTTTCCTTATGAATCAGGGTGAAGTCTCTCTCAGGGAGGAGTGATAGGGAATGGCAAAGGACACACTGACAAAGGAGATTAATCAGAACTGGCTTTGACAAGCACTGTGGCAACTGGACAATTAAAACAGACATTCAGGGGCAGGGAAGAAGAACGAACTGGGGAGGAGGGTAGAGAAAACAGTGCAACAGTGAATGACTGAAAACCCAAAATCTCTGTAAATGTTCATTAAAACTAATAAAATTTAATAATAATTAAAAAAAAAAAAAAAGACCAGCCTGGTCGTTCCCCTGCCCTCTCCCTGGACTCACCGCAACAATCCTGTCACCCACCGATAGGGAACCTTCCTTGGCAGCCGGACTCCCAGGCACCACGGCAGCGGCATACACTCCGTTCTCCAGGCTGATGCCACTGTCTGCAAGCCACAGGAGAGGCCAGTCATCAGCAAGCAGGCCCCTGCCAACCAGCCACCTCGCCGGCTTGATTAACTCATAAAAGCTGAAGGTTGCAGAAACACCCTGTCTGGTCACCCTAGCACCCCACAGGATCAGAGCACCCCATGTCTGGTCTGCTGAACTGAGTCAAACACACAAAGACAAGCAGGACACAGGTGTCTTCCCACAGGAGAGGTGTTCTCACACAGTGCACACCCCGGAAAGGCAGTACTCCTGCGAAGACCCCGGCCCCTCCCTCGGCCACTACCTTTCTGTCCACTCAGGTTGATGTGCAGCGGGGTGACCACCTTGCTGCCCAGCGACTTCCGCCGCCGCACGACCATGTTGATGGCCCCCTCCCCGTGCAGGAGCGCCTTGATGGCCTGCTTCTTGTCCTTGTTGATGAGGTCCACGTCATTGATCCTCAGCAGCCAGTCATTGACCCTGGGGTGGGGAAATGAAACCACGCTGGCACCCAGGCAGCCATGGATCAGCTGGCACACCCCAGCAACTCCCTTCCGGGAAGGTCAGAAAGCAGGAGTGTCCCCACATGCACATACTCAACAAGATCTCTTCTAGGCTGTGTCATGGTTCAGCTCACAGAGCCTGGATCTAGACCATCAGGGTTCAAATCCTGGCTCTACCACTTAGCCATGGAACCTTGTACAAATGAACCAGCCCTTCTGAGCCTCAATGGCTCCATCTGTCCAATGGGGTAATAATGGTACCCATTTCATACAACTGTCAAGCTTTTTAAAAATTGATTTATGTGAGAGCACATTTTTTTTTCCTCAGCTGCCAATGAGGGCATTCTGGTTCTTGTGTGAATTGAGCTAATTGTTCCCTGGGGTTTTCAAAGCTGATGTTTCAGGAGCAAAAAACCAGGTCTCTCTTCTGAGGGGCCCCTGGGTGGACTCAAACCTCCCACCTTTTGGTTAGCAGCTGAGTACATCAACCATCAGCGTCACCAGGGACTCCAACAGGACACGGAAGCCCTGTACACAAGCCACCTTGTTGTCACCATTATTTAACAGACTGAACAGGCACATTTTGGGCTCTCATCCTGAAACCTTTCGAACCACGAGAAGCAAAAGGCAGAGCAAGCCGGTGCCTGGGGTGTGGGAAGGCAGAGCAGAGGAGACTGAGGACGGGAGCTTCTTCCAAGAATCGCAGCTCCAGCACCTGCAGGTTCTGGGCAGAGCTAGGCCACCTCTCAGGCGCTGGGTGCCCACACCTCACTGCTGCCTGGCATCCTCTGGGCCAGTCCTCCTCTGCACTGGCTTGAGAGACCTGCCTTTCCTCCAGGGACAGTGACTCTTGAACTTGTACCTTAATCGACCATCAGCAATGCTTCCTTTGTCCACTTTCGTGACAAAGATGCCACAGTCCCCTGGGAAACAGGGCTCATTCACACCTTCTGCCATATCGAATCCAAGTGCCTTCAGGTCAATGTCCTCCTGTGGAGACAGCAGCAGTAACACTGTTACAAAGCCGTGCTGGGGATCGCTAGGCTCTCACACCCCAAGCCCCACTCCAGCGTGGAGGGCTGTCCTGTCTGTGTCTGACGGCCACTGCAGGTAGTCACCTATCACCCCACCTTTGGGGCTCTCTTCCCTCTGTTGCCAGGCCCTGTATCAGTGTCTGTCAGGTGACACAGGGCACCACTTGCTGCAGACCTGCTGCCGACATACTCAGGAATTTGGAAAAGGAGGCACGTGTGGCCCCGAGGGGAAGCCATGGACCGGGGATGTTTCAAAAGGGCCACCTCCTCACTTCCCAGGCCGAGCCATCACACCAAGGAGCGTGGGGATAGGGGACCACAAAGCCAGCTCACCGTCTCCCTTTCAAACTCCACAACTTCTGTTTCCCACTCCATGGAGTCTGTATCGATGGCCGAGTCATGGGAGCTATGGGCCAGCAGCTGCCGGAAGCGGGCCTCCTTGCCCAACTGGGACTCCATCTGTTCCCTGTGAACAGAGTGGGTGGAGGCTCTGAGGGAGGCGAGGCCCTTTTTCTCCCAGCTGCAAACCCAATGAGGCCATTTGAGTGCATGACTCTCCCTGACCCCACACTGCTGCTGTGAACTGCTTGCTGTCCAGTCGGCTCCCACCACAGAGTGACCCCATCCACCAGGGGACAAATACAACACTGCCTGTGCTGTTGCCTCCCCACCATCAGTTACAGACTGGACAACTGTGAACCACAGGATTTCCAATGGCTGGTTTTCAGAAGTAAGACTGTCGAGCATTTCTTCCTAGGTTAAGTCTGTAAGATCTGCAGAAACCTATTTAACAACATGCAAGTGAGTGTGAGGTGCATTTGCTGGGAAAAGGACCTGGGTCTCCTACACGGAAGGCACATGTTCTACCTTAGGACCATTAATGCTTCATGACTTCACACTTGTTGTTGTTAGGTGCCATCAAGCTGAGTACAACTCATGGCAACCCTATGAGCAGCAGATCTAAACCCATCCTATCCTGTGCCATCCTCACACTTCCTGACACACTAGAGCCCACTGCAGCAGTCACCATGTCAGTCCATCTGGTTGAGGGTTTTACTCTCCTTCGCTGACCCTCCACCCTTCTCAGCATCATGTCCTTCTCCAAAGAAGAGCCCGTCCTAGAAACATGCCCAAAGTATGTGAGGTGAAGCCTCATTATCCTTGCCTCCAAAGAGCACTCTGGCTACACCGTCTCCAAGACATAGCTGTTTGTTCTTTTGGCCTACCATGGGATGTTGAATGCTCTTCTCCACCACCACAGCTCAAAGGCCTCAATTCTTCTGTGACCCGTATTCACTGTCCAGCTCTCAGACACAAGCAAGTGATTGGAAAGACCAGGGCCTGAATCAGAAGCACCTTTGTCCTCAAACTGACATCATTACTTCTCAATAATTTAGAAAGGTCCCTAACTGCAGACTTTCCCAGTGCAATAAGTCTCCTGATTTCCTGACTGACTTGATATTAGCCCCCAACAAATCTAGGGAGTTGGGATAAGCCTCTTCATTATCAGTGGGTATTCATGGTGGTCACGGATCATTTTTTAAAGAAAGACTTTCTCCCTAGGTTGATTTATAGGTTTACTGCAATTACTACAAATAGCAAGAATTTTTGGAGCTACAGAACACGACCATTCCGAAATGTATATGGGAAGGCAGAGGCGCTAGAATAGCTAAAGCAGTTCAGGAAAGGAATACAAGAGGAATCACTCCACCCAGTATTCAGACTGACTACACAGCTATAGCACGTGAGGCTATGTGGGAGGCAGACAAGGACATCAACATGATGGAACTGAAACCCAGAATCTACACACCAAAGCATGTCAGTGGATCTTTAACCAAGGCGTTCAGCCAAACGGGAGTAACAGAGGGAATGCATCCTGCTACTGGCTGTGAGGCTGTCTGAACTGAGAGAGGGACCCTGGCTTGCTGTTGACCGGCTTGGGACAGCTTTTTACTGAATCTGGACTTGCACTGTGTAATGTCCTTTGTCACCACCCAACAACCTATTTCCCTAATCAATTCCACCAACGGCAGTGAAAAGGTTTTGTAAAGTCTGGGTGGTCATTTGCAATGAGTATCGGACCTAGTGGTAAGTAGAAGTAGGTGCGGCAGACTGGGGGACCATATCTGACCACATAGCAGTTAGATTTATATACTGTGAATGCTGGGGTTATACTGTAGTTGGTGGGGACAGTTCCCCTGTGTGGAGTTAGCAGAGGTCAGATTCAGCCATCTCTACTTGACCTTTGCTTCTTTTACAGATGGTGTCAGAACTGGTGAGATTTGTTGCAATGGCTCTTTGAAACACAGGATTTTGTAAACTTGGGGCTTGCCATAGGTAGAACTAAAATGGTTACTGCTTGTTGCTACAAAATAGGGGAGAAAACCCAGAGGTCATTTTTGGCCTGGGGATTGAAAGCAGAGGCCACCACCACCACCAAGACTATTTATAGTTAAGGATAGCAATTAAGGGTAGATAATGAAGATGAAACTGGAAATTTCTTGTGTTAAGGTTTTTGTTGATTTAACTTTAGAAATACTGCTTTTTTGTTTGTTTCCTCTATGCAGTAATACTAAGATACATTGTAAATGACCATTGAATGTTGTAAAGTTAAGATACACTGTAACGATAATTGTTATTGTTGTTATTGCTATGTGCCAATGAATGGACCAGGATTCACAGCAACTCTATGCAACTCTGAAATCTGCGGCTCCTTGGAGGCAAGGATTCTGAAGCTTCATATGACATACTTTGGACATGTTGCAAGAAGGGACCAGTCTTTGGAGAGGGATATCATGCTTGGGAGGGTGGAGGGACAGCACAGGAGAGGAAGACCCTCAATGGGATTGATTCTGTCACTGGGGTGGTGGGGTAGGCGTGTGAGAGACAATAAGGTTGGCACCGGATAGAGCAAGGTTTAGGCCTATTAGCAACTCGATGGCACAGAACAACAAAGTTCACCTTCGGTTAGTGATTAATTGGATAGGCAGAAAGGAAAAATTTGCCCTAAAGGAATGCTTTTTAAAAGTAGTAGATTTTGGTAAAGAGCATGGGGCTTGGCTTGAGAAAGATTAAGCCTCACACAATACTCGAGGAGGACATGTGTAAAATGAGAGACTTTATCAATGCACCAAGGCAAGATAAAGCTGATGCCCATCAGAATTCCCTTTCCAGAACGTGAAGAAGGGTAGTGAGTATGCTTAACTCGTGATGACCAGCTGTGCAATTTTGATGAGTGGCAGTGGACAGCCCTCATGCAGTAATGACGAGTCAGGCTGAATCTGGACGTGTCCTTCGGCACTATCCACCTAGCATGAGGAATGGGCAAGTAGAGAAGGGTGGCTGCTCTGTGGAGCGAGGAGTCCTAAGGACCCCGGGGGTGGGGGTGCTGACTTAGCCCTTGCTGTTGACTGAGAGGCTGTGTGAACGGAGAGAGGGCCTGTGTCTTGTTGTTAACCTGGCTGGGATGGCTACTTACTGAACCTGGACTTTCACTCTATGATAGCCTTTGCCACCTGCTCGCCTCTACCTGTTTCCCTAATAAAGTCCACAACTGTGAATAACAACAACAACAAAAAAGAAAGAAGAGACAGTCTTCTCAACAAATAGTGCAACTAGACATCCAGAGGCAAAAACAAACAAAATACCACAACGGCTTATATAAAACCAACTCAAAATTAGACCAGACTTTAAATTAACTCTATTTTTTTTTAGAAAAATTACAGAACAAAACTCTTAAGAGATGTAGGATAAGATCTTAGACACAACATTATTCATTTAAAAAAATATGAGTAAACAGGACTCATCAAATTAAAAATTTGAGCTCTACAAAAAGCTCTAGTATGAGAATGAAAAAAGACTTGGGAATTCTGACTTCCTAAGTAACATCCTTCTTTCTTTTATTTTTTTTTTAATTTTATACTGTTTTACATACAAAGTTCATAAAGTTCATATACATTGCTTTTCATCTTTCATAAATCTGGCCAAATGACCCTCCAGCGTGATCAGCAGTGTCCACTGGGCTCCTGCATGTCAAGGACCTATTGTGGGTCATTGATTGGTGCACACAAACCCTGCGCCCACATGTTCTCATTGGCCTTCTCCAGCATGGTCCCCCTCCTGGGACTTCTCCTTTGCCTGGCGCTGCCGCCTAGGCCTAGATCGTCCTCCCCAGGGCTTCACAACACAAGCAGACCCAAGTCTACATTTAAAGTGTCTGTCACCAGGCCCATCTGCCTGCACCAACAGAAGATGAAGCTTCCTTGAGAGGTAACGGTGACCTCTTCAGTGCCTACTGGCCTGACGTCTCAGCAGAAAGAAGGTACAAACACAAATGTGCTGAGCCAAAAGATGGTGAAAGTCTCCTATCAGTTCAAGGCTTCTCCCACACAACTAAAATGTTAAACCAAAGCCTACTCGGTTGTAGGCTATGGCGGCAGTTCTCAGGTCCCGCCAATGCCTGCTTTCAGATTGTGACCTTTGCCTTTTATACCACCACATCTTCAATGACACCCCTGGAAGTGATGCTGTAAGCAAGGGGAGGCTGACTGACAACCTAACAGTCTCTTCTCAGAAGCACAGGCAGAATGGCTGCCTTGGAATTGGTGCACTGCTATCCATGTTCATTTATCTACTTGACTTGGATCAGCTCTGCGGAGGACTGTGAGCACTGTGAGGGCAGTGATGCTCATTCAGCATGGCCCGGCCAGCGTCTCTCCCAGACCTGACCCACAGAGGACACCTCAAGAATTCTCTGTGGCATGAATGAATGACTGGCATGGCCCCAAACGCCAAGAACCACGTCCCATACCCCTTGAACTCTGTCCTGTGGGCCTTTTCACCTGGGTCCACCCCTTCACCACATGCAACCACAGAGCTGGTGTCTCTTCCTGCACTAAGAATTTTAATCAATTTTCAAAATGAAGGTGGCATTTGGACCCATATAGATCAGCAGAGTGAAGCCGAGTGCCTCACTCTGACAGGCGAGGGGCACCCACACAGCCTCAGTCATGCACACACACACACACCCCACCCCACTCCCGGCCTACTTGAGTTCCTTAAGCTCCCGGCTGATGTCATTCTTCTGCTTGCGAGTGTCATCCAGGCTGCGCAGGGCCTCGGCCAGCTCACTCACGGCCCGGTCCCGCTCCCGGCGCAGGTTGTCACACAGCGTCCTGGCAGAGAGAGAGGGAAGAGGGTGAGGCTCTGTCAGGGGGAGGGGAAGGTGGTTTCATGGTGGCCCCAGGCCTCACATTCACAGAGGTTCCTGCCTTGGCCCATGTACACGGGGTGAGATGACCCAAGCCAACCTTGTGCTGTGACAGAGAGAGACACTGTGCACTCAGGAGGGGAAGAGATGCCCCCCAGGTACAATGACCATAAGGTTCCCATGTGCACTCCAGGGCTCTTCCCACCCACAAGTCCATCTCAATGGGCCTGGGTCCCCCCACACCCTCCTGCACACATTCACTGAAACACTGTGCAATGAAGCTTCCAGCCCTAGGCTCCCACCGATCCAGACCACAGGACCTTCCAGAACTACTCCCCACTGGGCTGGGGGCTGTCTGGGCTTTATGGCCCTCAGCTCAGGGCAGGGGCCCTATAGGAATAAGAGGTGGTTTCTGAGTCACAGAAACCTCAGCTGACCAGGAAACGTGGGTGGACAGACAAAATCCTTGCTCTGTGTACCTCAGAACCCCATCTTGTCACTAGTGGCCCCACCCTAGCCATGATAAGCATGCTGCCCAGGGCGACTTCTGCAGATGTCTGTGGCTAGCATTGGTATACAGTAAGCGGCCAGCACCCAACCCCATCTGGGCCTCCCTGGCCCAGTCAGTGACCTTCAAGGTTCCCTTCCCGCACTGTAAACAAAGCCACTCTCCACTGGCCATTCTTCATCATTCCACGTCTGGTCACCTCCACTCTCCTAACCAGTCTGTGGTCATGAGCCTCTCCTCTGAAAGGCCACTCAATAATCAGCCATTAACTTCCTGCCCCCGTCCCAGCGTCTCCAGCTTCTGCTCTAGCATAAGTCAAGTCCACACCCCTCAGGGCCTGCGGGATTCCGTGAGCCTCCTCTCTCCCCAGGGTCCCTCAAGCGCAGGCCCTGAGCTAGCTGTACTCCCTTATCTAGCTGCACCATCTGTCCCTGAGGGCACCCCACACCTTCATGTTGCACTCCACCACTAGGAGGAGCCCTATGCCCACAGTGCCTGTCCTGCAGGCGTGCCCAGACCCCACAAAGCTCACACCCATCAGGCAGCTCAGAAGCTGTTTACATCCCTTGTCCCTTTGCTTGAGGGACCTGAGACCCCACACCCAGTAAACATCCAGAGTGCTAACTGAAAGAACACATTTCTGCTGGTGGTCTCATCAGAAGCCCCTCACAGAGGAAAGACTAGCCTGTGTCACTTGACAGTGATGGTATCTGGCCCCGGGCAGCTCAGATGTGTAGGAAGGCAGGCACACAGAAGGTGTGAGGGAAACTAGGGCCTCCACAGGGAGGAGGAAGGAGCCAGGAGTCCCCAGCCCACCTGTAAACAACTTGGCCCTCCCACGACCCCACCAAAGTCCTGAGGGGGCGCAAGGTGCAGGCAGCCTGTACCGGATGCTGTCACGCTCTGCCACGATCTTGTCCCGCTCCTGGAAGGCCCAGTCCCGCCGGCACTTGGCCACGTCTGCCTCCTGGAGGGCTTCCTTCAGCTCCTGGCACAGAGCCTTGCACTGCTTTCGGAGGATTTCCACCTCTTTGTTGGCTCTCCCGGCGTCCATTGTCACTGTGTCCTTGATCTGCAGGGTGTGAGGACAAGCAGAGCCTTTCACAGAGTTTTCTAGCTCTGAGGTGGTCCTGAGCAGAGCCGGTGGTGGGTGGAGAGTGGGGAGCACGGGGTTATACCCAGAACTTGTCCCACCAACCATCCCCCCTCCCCCTGTACCCCAGAAGACAGCACGTCTGGGTCCCCTTTGAGACAGAGTGATGCTGGCTCAGGGTCCCAGTCTAAAGACTCAGGACTTCACTCAGTCCTGCTTGGGGATCCCCATCTCTGCTTGGTCACAGGCCTCCACAGCATCCTTGTTATAGCTTCCAAGCACCACTAACCAGGCTCACACCTTCCCCCAGGTCTCTCTAAAGAGCTAAATCTCTAAAGAAACGGAATTACATGAGGCTGGGTTCCAGTCGAGGTGCAGATACTCAAAGCAGAAAACCAGTAAGTATTTTGTGCTCTGTGTCAACAACACTAGATTTTATACTCTCACATGCTGAGTTATTTTTCCATTTTCACTGAAATACTGCTTTTCTCTGTTCATTTAAAAAGCTGAATCAGTCACACTGGCATCTTGTAACTTCTCTAAAGAATTACAAGCACCACTGACATTCCAAACAGAACCACAGACACACTTAAGTAGGAAACTCCTCTGATTCTTAAAGAGTGAAGAAGGAGTGGCCGACTGCTGTAGAGGATTTCTGAACAAACAAAAATGAGCATGGGCCCGAAGGGATGGACTGGAGTCGCCGCCACACTGGGGCTCACCCTCCACACAGGAAGGGGATAGGAGAAACCACACATGCACCTAGTGCAGCCTCTCTCCACAGAGAATGTACAAGCCAGTCATCCGTTAACCAGGGTCTGGCCTGTGTCTGAATATTTCTGTGCCACTCAGGAGTACCCAGGTGTGCAAACAAGTCAGATGCAGCTGCTAATCCAAGGGGTGGGGGTGGGGTGGGGGAAATACACCACAAAGGACCCTGGAAAGAAGGCCTGGTGATCAGAAGAGTCAACCACTGAAAACCCTATAGTTATTGTTAGGTGCAGCTGAGTTCATTACAACCCACAGTGACTCTATGAACAACGGATCTGAACCCTGCCCCATCCTGTGCTATCCTCACAATCTCTTACACTCTTGAGCCCATTGCTGTCATCCTCATATCAGTTCATCTGGTCAAGGGTATTCCTCTCTTCCACCGACCCTCCACCTTTCCAAGTATGTTATATCCCTCTCCAAGGAATAGCCTCTCCTAGCAACATGCCCAAAACGTGCGGAGCAGAGTTAGAAGACAGCAAGCAGCAGCCTCGCCAAAAACAAGTCAAAATAATCTCCAGGGATCTTTTCATCTCAGACAAACAGATGAAGGAGACTGAAGCTGGGAAGATCAGGAAGCAAAGATTTCAGCTCTGGAACAACAGCCTCACAGGCAGGGGTAGGGCCCTAGGAACAGTGCCTGGAAGAGACGCTGGCCTCAGCTGCAAGGTGATGTGATGTACCCACCGCGTAGGCCTGGCACCTGGACCCGGTCTGAAGGGCACCGCCTCAGAATGGTACCTGAGTTCACATGGCTTCCACTGCTGTGGGAGGCAGGTGCCAGCACAACTAATCACGGGCCACCATGCGGGAAATGTGGGGTCTCCCTCACCTGCTCCTTCACACATCACAGGGCCTCTCCAATCTCAGACACCACACAAGTACCCCTTCTCTTTTCTCCTCAGTGGTTCTGTGTTCCTGGTCTGATTCAGGCATGTCCCCCCAGCAATTAAGCAACTCGAATTCCCAAACATAACAATGCTTGCTGATTAGAACAAATACAGAATAGAATTTCAAATTCTCACAGACTCTAGACTTTCTGGGCACGTGGTTGTGAGCTTTGAACTTGGATTTAGGATGTTGTTTCTTAATAAGCAAACTCTTGAGATATCCTTTAGACTTCCTTTCAGCACAAAGTTGATGTGCAATTACTTGATAGTGGGTTTGTGTGTGTGTGTGTGTGTGTGTGTGTCTGTGTGTGTGTGTTGTGTGTATCTGTTTTTGTGTGTGTTATCTATGTGTTTGACCTGACTCTCTTCCCAGCCTGCAAGCTCTGGACACGCAGGATTGTGCTGGGTGTCTGTGTTTGTCACAGCCAGCTCAAGTCATGCCCAACAACCCAGCTAGAGCTTGGCTGAAAACGAGAAGCCTTTCACTCCAAGTCAGACTCACTGTACTGCTGTCAAGTTAGAACTCTCTCAGGTGAGACCTTCCATTGGGTTTCCAAGGTTGTAAATAGCCCATCTTTTTCCTTGAGAGCTGCTGGTGGAGTCAAACCATCAGACAGCCCTGACCTATGGGTGAGCAGAACAAATGCTACAGATGAGACCACTGCTACGTGGATCACCACACACTCTGAGCCACTTCCCACCACGCTGCTGTGTGCGAAGCCGCAAGGCTGTCCTTCTACCTGCCTACCTGCCGCAGAGCCTCCATCTCCTCGCTGGCCGCTTTCTTCTCAGACGTGCTGCTCTTGAGTTTGGACTCGGCCAGCTCCACCTCGGTCTGCAGCTTGTCCAGCTCAGAAATGACCTGGTCCCGCTCGCTCATGATGAGCTTGTACTCGCTGTACACGGCATCCCGCTCCTCCTTGTACTTCTCCGACTCCTTGGCCGTCTTGGCCTGTGTGCTCCTCAGCTCCGTCAGCTCCGACTGCAGCAACTCCATCTCCCACTGCAGGTCCTTGTTCTGGGTCGTGGCCTTGTTCAGCTCGTGGTGGATGGCCTCGAACCTGGGGAGAGAGGCACCAGGGTGTAGGAGCAGGGCCAGGCCGAGCAGTCAGCTGTGGGGCCATCGTGCCCGGCTGGACAGCCAAGCATGATGTTCCCAGGGTGTCCATTCTCTGCACGGCTCTAAGGGAAAAGTTCTGGAGGGCAAGGGTCCTGGGCCGGCAATTTTCTCAGTGTCTTATTAATTAGTACAGTTTGAACAAAGGGCTTCATGCTCTCTGCACTACTAAAAAGAACATTTTCTTTCTTTCTCAGACCAGCGGCACTCTTTAAAAACTTAAAAATTAAAAAAAAATACATAACCGCTTAAGAGAGGTAAAAATGGTCTTAAAGACTATGTAGTCCCACCATCACACGTACAAATACTGACAAGAAGGCCTTGAGCAGTAGGTGACTGGCCCCGAGTCATGGGCCAGCACAGGAAAAGCTCTCCACACAGCAGCCCTGAAAACCAGAATCTATAGCTCCAGGGCAGCAAAGCTTCAAGTGTGGCCCTCAGAACGCCACTGCACAGGGGTTCCTCTTTATTTTTATTTAATTTTATTCTTTTGTTTTTGTGTGTGTGTACTGTCAAATCGGATCTGACGGGTACTTGAGGAGATTGTCCCTCCTTCTCCAGCAGAGCACCTGGTGGATTCTCCAGCAGAGCACCTGGTGGATTCGAACCGCGCACCTCTGGAGTGCAGTGCAGTTTCTTGCCACTAGGCCCCCAGAGCTCCCTTCAGGGGTTTCTCTTAAAACCTGCTTTCTACGATGACTTTCATTAGGAAGTACTGAATCCAGGGTCCTCTTCTTGGAAAATCCACTGTACAAGATCAGGCAAGTCCCCCAGAATAGAAATCTGTGTATTTTGCCCAGCAAGAACTAAATCTAGTTGATACAGAGACTACTTTTTCCTCACGTGAAACCAAGGAATGATCTAGAAAACCAGCGTTCAAGAGGAATGCTCCTTAGAAAATACTGTCTGAGAGCAGGGACCACATCTCTAAAGAAGGTTTTAACACAAAATACAAATGTAATAGTAAAAAATGCGCAGGATGATAAACTTTTCTACTTGCTCAGTGGGTGGCTGGGACAGACACACTGAAAGTCTGTGAGGGTTGATTTTACGTGTCACTTTCAGTAGGCCAGGGCTGCCAGTGTCTAGTTACTGTCCTGCAGGAAAAGCTGACCTCGGGCTGCAAACAAGGTTAGTTCCTAAGAGCCTCTTTAAACCCAATTTGTAGGTCAGTCATAGGATTCTTATTTAGCTTTACTTTAGTGCAAAAAAGGCTCAAAGCCTTTTCAAGGATTTAAAAGCTGCACATGCAGCAAGTAAAGGTGACTGTGATGAATCTGTAGCACTGGCTGCTTAGACATGGTGATAAATCAGCCCCATTAGTCAATGTTAATTAATGTTATAAAACAAAAAGTCTATGAATGATTAAATGAAAAATTGGTAGGATTTGTAAAGCTTCACTCAAAGCAAAGCAAAACAAAACAAAAAGCCCTTAATAGATAAACAGGGTGAAGGGAAAGGCATATACAACAAAGTGCTGACTGCTGTGTACCATTGACTTGGAATCGCCACAGTTGACTCTCTCCAGCGGGCTCTAGGAGGTATAAATCACACAGGAGGAGAAATGTTCATGTTTCTCTCGTGGAGCAGCAGGTGAATTCAAACTGTGGGTGCTTTAGGTTGAGCTCCCTAGGATTTTACTGGATATTATAATTAATTAATTCATGAATTACATTCATCAATGGTCATGTTATAACATATGTCTGAACAAACATAATTGTAATTGTAATATTTTGAAACAAAGTCTGTATAAATGAAAAGCCAATATGATTGATTTGTAAACTCTCATACAAATAAAGGGGAAATAAAGATTATGTTGTGCGTGTGATTCGGGAAGCCCTGATGGCATGGTGGTTGAGGCACCCAGTTGCCAGTTCAGTGGTTGAAAACCACTAGCAGATCTCCAAGAGTAAGATGTGGCTGCTTCCTTCTGGTGAAGACCCACAGCCTTGGAAGTCTCACAGGGTCCCTGGGAATAGGAACTGACTCAGTGGGTCTGGAGTGCTGGTGCTGGAGGTGTTGGTTCAATTGTTTCAAAGTGAGGACATATTTCTATAAATCCAAGCAGGGCTTTAAAGACTGCAGTCCCTCAATCGAGGTCAGCTGTCAGTCATACTGAGGTGACACCACTGTGAATGTGTGTCCAGCTAACAACACTGAACTCCAGCCATCAGGCCCTGAAAGCACGCAGGATGCTTCTGCTCAATCTCTCATTCCAGGGCTTCAACTCAGAGTTGCCCCAGCTCCACTTGCTGCTGCAAATATTCTGGTCTGTTCCTGTTCCCTTTAGTGGCCACAGCATTCAAGGGCAAGTGGGAGTTATCTGTAAATCACATGTTCAAAACCCAGGAACTGCTGTAATTACTGTAAAAGCTGGACAATGAGTAAGGAAGACTGAAGAACAACTTATGCCTCTGAACAGCGGGGCTGGTGAAGAACAGTGGGCATCCCATGGAACGCCAAAAGCAGAAACAAATCTCACTTAGAAGGGCTGCTGGTGTGCTCTTTAGAAGGGGAATGGTGAGCATTCTTCAGGCATGCTATCAGCAGGGCCAGCTCTTTGAGGGAAAACATCATGCCTGATAAAGGGCAGCAAAAAAGAGGATGACCCTTGATGAGACAGAATAACATGGTGCCTGTGACCATGGGCTTATGCCCAGCAGACACTGTAATGGTGGTGCAGTGATCCGATCTGCTGTGACAGTGTCACAGCCAACTCGACAACACCTCACAAACCGCATCTGCAGCACCCAGGCATCTTGAGAAGCTGTTATCCTGGTTGTTGTATGTGCTTCCGTCCAACAGGGACCTACGTAACTGCATGAATCTGAAGAGCAGGCCTCCTCCCACCAGCGTCTACTGCAGACATAAATGACCACCTTAATAGTCTCAAAATCCCTAGAACCCCTGTCAGAGCGTCCTCCCTTGATTTAAGCATGCTTTCCATTACTTAAAACACATACTATTAAATAAAAAAAAGCAGAAAATAAAAATCATGAAAGGGACCCCCAGGGACAGTCATGGGACATTGGACACGATAACCAAGGAGGAACGAGCCTAGCAGCCGAAACATTGGAAGTAATTTTGATCTCCAGAAATCCGACAAGGTGAATTTACGTTCCTTAAAAACCATCTGCCTGACAGCAGGCCTGGGTAACTACGCAGAAAGCTGTGGTGGCCTCATGGTAAGGAGTGGTACTGCCAACCTAAAGGCATGTGGTTGGAATCCGCTGGCTGCTCCATGGGAGAAAGAGGGGCAATCTCCTCCCATGCAATTGCTGCCTATGAAAACCTGCTGGAGGGTCAGTTATGGGTCGGTTCCAACCCAACAGCACCTAACAATAACAGGACACTAAAATGTTCCCTAAGAATATGCCCAGAAAGAAGGTTTTTAATTGAGAAAGCGCCACTGCTTTTGCTCCCTGGATAATACGCAGCCCCCATGGAGAGTGGCCCAGGCACTGATCTGTCACCAGGTTCAGCTGGTCCCTGAGCGGGGACGGTGGGTGCTGGCTCCTACCTCCGCAGGGACAGGGCACACTGGTGCTGCAGCTGAATGGCCGTGTCCCTCTGCTGGGTCAGCATCTCTGCCTGCTTCAGCAGGCGCTGGTTCTCGTCCTCCAGCTGCTCCAGGCGGCTCAGGTCCGAGTTGTGGATGGCAACTTTCTCACTGTACCGCTTCCGCAGGGCATCATAGTCCTTCTTGACCACCTCCAGCTTGTCCATGGCCGTGTCGTACAGCTTGTTGAGTATTTCTGAAGACCCGTTGTGCTTCAACACCTAGAAGGCAGACAGTCACACTCACCAGGGGACTGGGGCCAGAGGGGGGGCAGAGAGCATCTCTCTGTCTCCAGTCTGCCAAGGAGAACAGAGGGAGGAGGGCGGGGAGAGGATGTCTCCACCGAAGTACCCTGGGCTAGATCATTCGGTCATTTTTTCCCATGCACATTTCTTAAGTCCTGCACAGAAAAGGGTTGAACAATAAACCAGAGACCCTTGTCCTCAGAAAGGCCTGGAAACAAGGCCTGTCATGGCTGCTGACCGAGAAACAGTGACTGTGTGAATCATAATAAACTGTGGCTGACTCTGAGAAGAATGGGAATCCCAGAACACTTGATCATTCTAATGCGAAACCTATACTTGGACCAGGAAGCAGTCGTCAGAACAGAGCAAGGGAACACTGCATAGTTCAAAATTGGGAAGGGCGTACGCCAGGGATGCGTCCTATCTCCACACCTTTTCAACATGTACGCAGAACAGATTATCTGGGAGGCTGGGCTCTATGGGGAGAAATGTGGGGTCAAGATTGGTGGACGATCTATCAACAATCTGCGTTATGCAGATGACACAACCCTGCTTGCTGAAACTGAGGAGGACCTGAAGTCCTTGCTGCAGAGGGTCGATTGCAGCCTCCAATATGGATTGAGGCTCAATGTCAAGAAGACAAAGATTCTCACCACTGGACCAACTGGCAGCATCAGGATGGATGGTGAAGAGATTGAGATTATTCACAGCTTTAGTTTGCTTGGCTCCACATTCAACACTCTTGGCACCAGTATTCAGGAAATTAAAAGGTGCATTGCCATGGGAAAGTCTGCTGTTAGGGACCTCTCCAAAGTACTGAAGAGCAATGGTGTCTCTCTGGAGACTAAGGTGCGTCTGATACAGGCCACGGTCTTTGCAATCACTTGTTATGCATCAGAGAGTTGGACAATGACCAAGGAGGATAGAAGGAGAATTGATGCCTTTGAGCTGTGATGCTGGAGAAGAGTATTGAGAACACAATGGACTGCTAAGAAAACAGATTCATCCTGAAAAGGGTCAAATTGGTGGCTCCTTGGAGGCAGGGATTCTGAGGCTCCGTCTAACATATTTTGGACATATTGTAAGGAGAGACCGGTCCTTGAAGAAGGACATCATGCTTGGGAGGGTAGAGGGACAGAGCAGGAGGGGAAGGCCCTCTATGAGGTGGATTGATTCAGCGGCTGGGGTAATCGGGATGGGAGTGTCAGAGACAGTGCAATTGGCACAGGACAGAGCACAGTTTAGGGCTGTTGTACATAGGGTCGCTATGAGTCGCAAGCGACTCGATGGCACACAACAACAACAACTGATAAAGGCAGACAGTGTCTCAACAGTGGCTTTCCCTCTGGGGCCCTGGACCTTAGGCACATGCTAGGGGGCTGCCTACCTCCCTGGCCCCCAGTGAAAACCCTGGGCTCCCCTGAGAGATAGCACTCCACACATGGTCAAGGCTGGATGATGAGGGATGACAGTAACCTCTGAGACTCCCCAGGAGAGGACTCGGGGACTTTGCCTTTTGTCAATCTTGCTCTGCATCTGGTCCGGTCACGACATTAAATCTCAGCCATGAGTACAGCCATATGCAATGCTTCCTCAAGTCCCCCTCGTGACTAGAGGAGGGGGTGAAGTGATCCAGCAAGCCTAAGTGCCGGCACTGTTACTTGTGCTGGTAATGCAGAAAACATGGTTGAATGAAGACCATGGACCTTCTTGGTGGGGGAAGATGAGTGGGATACAGATAAGAGTAAATAAATGAAGTTGAATTAAGCCACTTCAGAGCATTGAAAGGTTAAACAGTGTGGTGTTAGTTCAAGGTTGGCTTTTATAGCCATTACTTCAGCCCCTTCTCTGGTCTCCAACTACCTGAACTGCAGATACATAGTCTTACAAATCATCAACAGCTGTGAGGTAAGAGAGAGTGCTTCCCACACTAAGCAGCAAGACTCAAGGGAGACTGTAGAAAGACCGTGAGACCAAAGTGGTGAGATCCTGGTGAGGGTGGTAGAGAGAGACTGTGGCATTGCTGTGGAGAAACTGTGGCAAGGAATAATCAGAGGAGTTCTGCGATAAAGGCCACAGTCAAAGGTTCTTCTTATTGAACTGAAACCTGAAAGGCTGACTTGTAACTGCTCTCAGATAAAGTTTGCTGGATGAATGAGGAAACCAGCGACTTCTTTCATTTGTGCTGCTGAACTGAAACCTAGTTGAGAAGCCATCTTTTATTAATTGAGGAATTGTGTTTTGCTGTTAATCTGGCTTCGAACTGTTATACTAAACCTGGACTTGCCCTGAGTGATATTCTTTGCATCCTTCACTCTCCAGCTTACTTCACTAATAAACCCTACTCCCAGTACCACAACTGCGAGTAAAGTCTGTAAGTTAACAACAAATATATGAACCTCTTGCTGCTGGTGTATATCTAGAGGCACCCGCAGGGCTGGGCTCTTTATGTGCTTTCTGCCCTTTATTTGCTTTCTGCTCTGGGGCAGTGAGGGGCTGGGATATTCTCACTCCCTCTGGCCCTTGCAGAGAGATGCTCAAGGCCCTGTGTCCTGTGTTCCATTTTCTGCTCTCTAGACATGCAGGAAAATTAAACACACAATATGAGAATAAGGTAGAGAATTCAGGGCAGCGGTAGAAAGAGGCCTGGGGAAGGTTACTTCTGAAGGTGATTCTAAGGAACTTATATACAAATGATAAGAAGCAGGAGCCCTGGGCAGAGAAGAGGAAGTGCAAGGGCCCTAAGGCAGGAGCACTTTATGAGGTCAGGAACAGAGCCATGACTGGAGCCCTGTGAAGAGAGGGGAGTGCAGAAAGAATATGGAGAAGCAGACATACTGTAGCTTCAAGGCTCACTGTGAAGACTGTACTCGGCGTATGGCAACTAGCAAGAGAGTTCTAATTCAATCTATGGGCACTAAGGCTCACTTGGGGAGCACTGGTGGCTTAGCAATAAGGAATTGTGCTGTCTAGCAAAGGTACAGCATTCAGATTCACCAGCTGCTCTGCAGGAGAAAGAGAGGCATTCTCTTTCCATGCAATTTATAGCCTCTGAAAACCCGCTGGAAGGTCAGCTATGGGTCAATTCCAACTTGATGGTACTCAACAACAATGTTCGCCTAGGGAGCTTGGATGTATGGTCCACAGGGAGTCTCATCAATAACCCAAAGGCCTTCTGTCAGTCTGAATCCACCAGATGCTCTTTGGGAAAAAGATAGGCCATCTCCTCCTTACTGCCATGAAGACTCAACAGAGGGGCAGCTATGAGTTGGTTCCAGCTCGACATTAATGTTTTTTGAAGGCTCATTTAGAAGCCTTTGAGGGCTCGCTGAAGGAGCCCTGATTGAAGATGCTATGGTTAGAGCACCCAGCTAACCATCAGTTGCTCCTTAAGAGAAAGACGTGGTGCTGTTGCCGTGAAGATGTGCCGCTTTGGAAGCTTTGGAAGCCCTGTGGAGTAATTCTTCTCCGTCCTCCAGGGCCACCAGAAGCCAGAATCAACTCAAGGGAGTGGGTCTGAGTTTGGGTCTAAAGGCTCACTTAAGATGTTGTTGACATGAAGAAGGGGGGAAATGGAAGATCTGTTAAAAGGAGAAATGTGCTGTTTGGATTGAGCACCCTGGGGAGATACATACCCACTCAAGAGACACTTCACCTCTCAACTTTTCGGGGGAGCTCTAGTTTCTTATTTCTCAAAGGATGTAAGTGGACCAGAAGAACTTGATTAACCCTGCCAGTTCTATAGCCTGCACTACGCAGAGTGGATGTGAATTATGAGATCTGCTAAAAATTAGCAGAGAGACCCAAGGCTCAGAATATTCCTTCTGGGACAGGGTTACCCTTCACTTAGCATGAGTAAGAGAGGGATGTACCCAAGAGTGAATTAGCACTGTACTGACTCAAAGGCTAAGTCTCTTGGATGGTTCAATCTACCAGCATCTTTACAGGAGAAAGATCGGCAATCTCCCTATTCAATTTACAGTCTCCTGAAAATACGCTAATGGGTCAGCTGTGAGTCACACCTACCTGCCTGCCTGCCTGCCTGCCTGCCTTCCTTCCTTCCTTCCTTCCTTCCTTCCTTCCTTCCTTCCTCCCTTCCTGTGATTTTTACAGAGATAGAAGCTTAAGAGAAGCAATAGGAAAGAAAAAGAACAGAGAGAGAAAGACAGACAGACAGACAGACAGACAGGCTGGGTTCTCTGATCCTAAACACAAGAACCCTGGATCATGGACGGTCTTGGAATTTTAGGCTCAAGAACTTCAGCCTGTCTGCAGCTTCTGTTTTCTTTCCAAGAACAATTCTTTCTCTCAAAGGAGATTTTCCAAGGTCATAAAAACATAAAACTTACTTTAAAAGTTGCACTGTTGGGTTTTTTTTTTGAGGGGGAAGATACCCCAGATCAAAATGCATTCTATAGAGGCCCTTTAATTAAAACATAATTGAGACAAAGACATACAGATGAACGATTCTAGAATGAGGGAAACCAGTGGTCCTGGAAGTGTCCCAATGAGCCACAGCCATGCTGTCACTTATATAATCTAGAGACAAAATCATCACCAGATCATAAGCTGAGCAGTTATTATCCATCAGTATTGCAGGAAGGACCACAGAAGTGGCCAAAGGGCATGGCTGGGATACATACAAGCCTATAGATGAAGAGGCACACAGCACTGGTTCTGGGACAGGTCCCATGCCACCCTGGCTCCAGGGATGTGACTCCACACCAGGCGGCCCTGAGTCACAGTCACCAGGACTCCAATTTTTGCTTCTTCCATGAAAAAGGAAGACAACTACCCTTCTCTAGGCTCCTCTGCCAGCTCTGATCCACCTTCAACTGCAAAACCAATCCAAAGATGGTCAGAAAGAACTCCAGAGCTTCCAAATTTAAGTTCTGACACAACATAGGTTTCTCTAACTCAAAATCAGACTGTTGCTGGGTTGGTTCCCACTCACAGCCACCCTCCAAGGCTAAATC